TGGTTACTACTTAGAAGGCGTTTCATCATATAGTTCCAAATGCTAGAACTCATGCCCATTTCATTCAAAGCATGTTATTGATTTGCATAACATATATCAAGATGAAGTTGTGTAGTTGCCACCATAGCCAAATAGCCTCACTTCCTATATTTCGTATATGTTGTAAGTTTTACCCCCGTTGAGCCATGTTAGCCCATGTTCTTTGTTAACCCACTTTATCTTCACCTAACCTAGAATATGACCGTCCTTACCCTTGTTCTTAAAAGGTAGTGAGCATAACTTAAATGAATTCCTTTTGAGTTACATTATGCAAGAAAATGAGTGTGGGGGAAGGAATGCTTGTTCTTAAGTATGTTTTGAGTTTCAACAGAAAAGAAAAACAGAAAAGAAAGAAAGAAAGAAAAAAAAAAAAAGCTTGAAAAATGAAAGAATGAGTGATTGAAGAAAGGGCTCAAAACACCAATTCTGGCCCTAAATTGTCTCCCTTTTTGTTCCAAAGTTGAGTTTTCATTCAAAAGTGAATTCTAAGTTGAATCAATTGCCTTGCTCACTATTTCTTTAAGAACCTTTGTTTTCCATATCCCTTCTTTGTTATCCACACGCCCCAAGCCCCATTACAACCCGTGACTTCAATCTTGAGTGTTATGTGTTTCAATTTGTGGAGTTTGAACTTGGTATGAGCATATGGTGTCACTGGTTCTCGCGTCTAAGTAGTAGCATTCCATTCATGAGATCATAATCTAAACATGCTTATTAACTCCAAAAATTGCGTTCTTTGTGAGACATATATGTGAGTGTTCGTTTTCATGTTTACATCAATCTTCTCACATATGACTAGATTAGGGTGTGTAGTTAGAAAATCTGAGTGAAAATTGAGTGCATATCTTATAAGGAATTGAGCAAATTCTCTAAGGCATGTTACTACATTCAAAACATGGTTTTAAATGCTTAATTGTGAACTAGTATGTGGTGACTATGATTAAGAATGTACTTAAGGGTAAAGATGGCTAAATTCTGTGGGAATAATGATTTTTAACTTGTCATGTGCATTGGAAATCCCTGAAACGATTGTTGGAAGGTGTAGGTTGTGTTTTACGTGTTTAGTGTCGTTTTGTTTATTTGTTTTTATTCTGTTTTGCTCGAGGACTAGCAAAAGATAAGTGTGGGGGAGTTTGATAGGAGCATATTTAGGCGACTTACTTAGCTTGTTTTCGTGCATCTATGTTGTTAATTCATAGTTGTTTTAGTAGTTTAAGCCATTTTCGTGTGTTTTTAGGTTCATATGGCTAAGGAAGCAAAAAGATGCATTTTGGAGCATTTTGGAGCAAAATTGGGCTTGGAATGGATAGCATATGATTGGAGCCAAACTGTTGGACGAATTTGAAGGCCTTGTATTCATTTTGGACATAAAACAAAGGGCCTAGCCCATTCTCTCTTAAACCAACCCAAGGCCATGCATTTCCTTCTCATTTCCAAAGCCCACAATCACTTCAAAAGCCATGCAAAGAACCATCCATTCCATAAAAAACAATCCATCAATTCACATGCAAAACCACCATTAACACACATGCACCCAAACAAAGCCAACCTAGCTAACCCTACATGCATTCTTTATGCAACTCTTAATCATTCCACCATTCATTCTTTATTCCACAAACAAGTCACATGCATTCACACACCAACAAAACAACTCCTTTGCCGTGCATTCCCACTTCCTTTCCAAACATCTCACATGCATTTCCACCTTCATTCTTCATCATTTCAATCACCTACATGCATTAATTATTAAACTCTTCATCATTGCATCCAGAAAATGAGCAAGGAAGCTTCCCAAACACATGCATACACACACTATTTTCAGCACATACATGCATTTCCAACATAAAAATCTGCCTTGTGTCGTGCACTTTCAATGCATTTCTAGCTTTCCCTTTCATTTCCACCACTCATTCTTCATCATTTCAATCACCTACATGCATTATTTATTAAATTCTTCATCATTGCAGCCAGAAAATCATCAAAAATCAGCCAACACATGCACAAATCCATCCATGCCGTGGGTTCCCTTTGGCCCCCTTGTGCAATTCCAGTTTTCACATGTGTCCTAGCTGTTTTTCCATCATTCCTCCACACAAATGCTTAAACAAACAGCCATATGTTCCCTCCACTCCTCCTATAAATACCCTTGCATTCCCATTCATTCAAATCATCTCATTTCATACACAACACCACAACACAAACACAAAAACAGCAACCTTGTTGTTGCCGTGGGTTCCCTTCCATTTCTCCTCCATTTCTTCCATTTCCATAATCCCCCAATCCATTCAACACACCTACAACATCCCTTAGTTCTTGTGCCACAATAAAGAGGAAGATAAGAGGGCCTAAACGTTCATACAATTCACGTTTGAGTTGTTGGAATGTTTACGCGTTTCTTTGATTTCAAAGTTTAAATTCAATTCTCTTTGTTTTGTAATATGAGGAATGGAAGATAAGAGGGCCTAAACGTTCATACAATTCACGTTTGAGTTGTTGGAATGTTTAGGTGTTTCTTTGATTTCAAAGTTATGAGGAACTAAACCCTTTTTGGCTAGGGGTGATTTCAATACCATGATTATTTATGTAATATGAATTAATGAATTCCGGTTATGAACTCTTGATTCGTGAATGCAATTGGCTTAACTATTTGATGATTAACTTATTTGTGTTTGTTGATTGAGGGTCGACACTTAATTAGCATGCATGAATATGTGGCTAAAGTTTAAGAAGGTTTCACATAATCGTTACTAACTTATACTTGAAAGTAGTGAAGGTCGCTTGTCACGATCGCGTTAAGTTTAATTCTTAGCATGAGTAACATGATGTCATAGTTGCAAGTGCTTTGTCAATGCTTATGGTTTTCATTATTCTTAATGATCTTCGATTGTATCTCTATTATGATGACATGTAGGGAACTTTTGAGAATGTTTTGGGTTGTCGAATGATGCCATCCAATCCAATAATATAAGGAAAATCTGAGGGTTAACTAGTGATGTCACGGTTAATTTGGGGCATTGTCGTTCATAATTCAATGAAGGAATAACTGGAAATTGATTCATATGCATAAATATCATGTGTGGAGAAAGAACCTCTAGCTAATTCACCAACCATCTTATTTCATCAATTTCATATTTACATTCTGTCTAGTTATTCATTTGTTTCGTTATTTCAATTTTCGTCAAACCTCAATCCCCCTTTTTCTTTAATGTTCAATATAGTTAGAAATCAATTTAGTTTGTGTTTTTAAAGCATTTTGATTCTTTTGGTTTGTCTTAGTGTTTTAACGTTTAGTTTCACATTCTTTGAGTCTAGTTTAGTGTTTTATATTGTTTTTATGTTTTTAAGTCAATTTAGAAGGTTTTAGCAAGCCCTCCTAATCCCCGGTCTAGAACGATCCCTCACTTATCCATTCTACTACAATTGTCAAACGAGGGTTTAATTTGAGTGTCAAGTAATTCTCGCATCAATAAATAGACATCCTTTCACTAATGATAAATCCTGCCCATATTTTGTAAATTTGTGAAAGAACATATTAGATTAAAATATGTGGAGCGGGTATATCTCTAGTGCAAATGTCTACTTTTATACTTTTATCTCTAGTGAAAAGAAGCTAGTTTATATATATATATATATATATTAGTAATAGCGAATTCGCCTAAAGAGAAAGCCTAGTAAAAATTGTAATTAAATGTAGAACGTCAATAAAACAAAGTTAACAAAGTACTAATTAATTTTACATACCTTTGAATATTTGTGTCTTCATTGCTTGAAAATGTATTTGTCAACGTTGTAAATCCCTTGATGAATTAGCTTTTTTTTTTTCCTAAAATTGTAAAATAAAGTGTTAAAAAAAGATTGTATGGCACTTAATAAATAATATATAATAATTAGTTGAGATGGAATAATATATAATAATTAGTTGAGATGGATGGAAAAATGGAGTCATACATAGGATGAAAGAGCAAAAACTAAATTTGAATATAGGAAATAAAAAAACAATTTGTAATTCATTATCATGCATTGTTATCTATTTTATGCTAAACATAAAAGATAATGTCTATTAGTAAGAGTGAAGCTAGTGTTTTGGAATGGGTGTTCTAGACGCTAAAGAATTGAGAAACTGAGATTAAGAGCAATTCTGATGACGGAATTGAGAATTAATAGGTATGTAATTAAAAAGTTATCGTATTGCTAAGTTTGAATTTGACTAATGATAGGTATATATAATGAAATTTTTTTGCCACAAAATGAAATCTGAACAGAAAGCATGTAGTCAAGTGGGAAGCAATGTTAATTTGAAACAAAAAAAAAGAATTCAAATAAAGATGAAATGCCAATTAAAACTTAAATGGAAAAAGGATAAAATAATGCCTCAACATATTATAAATGTTTCTCTAAAACTTAATTGAGAAGATAAAAACAGTGACCCACTTTTTGTTAACTAACATCTCTGCAACAGTTTTAGCATAAAAAAATTTGCCTTGCTGGCTAAATTTTTCAGCTAATCAAATTGCTAAGCAGCATATATATAGCCAATAAATAAGATAAATTGGATATTTCATGTATACTTAATATATTAGAGTATAAAACTTAGACCAAATGAGCGACCTTTAGGCACTTAATCACATCAGGACATTATTTTAACAAAAACAGAAAAATATTGCATGAAATATTTTTTTCTGCGGAAAAAAATAAGGAAACAGGGGAAAGCAAAAGCATTTCCCCCTATACATACTTGCTAAAAGTTACCATAGGAAACCACAACATATAAAAAAATTTACAACATATTGATAAAAAAGACCATGTGTCAATACACTTTAGCTAACCATTTTCTGGGCATAAACAGAACCACCACTGACTAAATAATAATGTTCTGCAAAACTAACATAATACTACAACTGTAGAATAAGAATAAGTCACAAAAATACATGACAATAACAGAAAGTGGAAAACAAAGAAAATTGAAAGGAAACCAAATAATCTCAACTAATTGAACACCTAATTTCTGTAAATCCAAAACTAATAGCTCCTTATACATAGTTGCCAACTTATTACAATAAACCACAGCAATGCATAAAAAGCTTTACAACACGTTCTAATTAAAATCTAAGGAAAAAAAATGTTAAGTTTTTTCCATTTTAAAATCGAAGAAACAAAACCCACAGATTTAAATAACCATGTGCATCTTACCCTCAAATGTTTCATAAGCACAAAAACTATCTAAGATGTTTTTCTCCCTTTGCAAATGCAACCTACAAAACAAGTCAAGCAAAAATTAAAAAAAATAAAAAACGAAAGGGTAATTAACAAAGCTCAAAAACCCTAGCACAAAAATGTCATAAACAGGATAAAAATGGCCAGCAAGTCTAACTACGACAGATAACAGTGTAAATGTTACTAATATAACTTGTCACACATAATAAACAACACTATTAAACTGGAATATTAATCCAGCAGATTTATATACCATTATAAATGATATCAAAATGAGCTGCAATACAAAGCAGTGAAGATTTATACCCACCAGATCCTTCTCACAGTCCAAAATCCAAATAAAGACTTCAAATCCATAAAATTACAATGAAATTAATACCATAATGTACCAAACAACTGTAAAAAATAAAATGCACCAAAGGCAAACATGAATTCAACAGGCCAAATAAGCAAAAAGATTCATACCTCAATTGAATTTTGAACTTGATTCTCTCGCCAAAAAATCTTAATCTACAAAACCAAATTAGTTTTATTAATAATAAAGTAACACGATAATGCATCAAACAACATTGAAAAATAAAATCTAGTAAAGGTAAAGATAAATTCAACAATCTAAATAAGCGCAAGCATTGATATCTGAACTGAATTTGCAGGTTAATTTTGTCGTTTAAAAATTCTGATCTACAAAACCAAATCAGTTCTATATTAACACCGATAAGTTAAGAATTGATATGAAAAACAAATCTATAATTGAGGCCTTAAAATATATTATAAGATCAATTAATACAAAGAAAGAAACAGTACCACACTCACAACCTTATATTTTCACCAGTACATATGCATATTGCTCCAGGTTGTTAAATCAGATCTTAAAGACCATGTTCCTAACACCAGAACTAACGACTTGAGAATCATATGAATTATAGCCAAGCCAAACCAAACCATTTAGGTTGTCAATAATGCCCAAATAAGCAGTTTAGCTTGGTTTCTTGAGTAGATCAGGTTAGTCAGGTTGCTGAAGAAACAACTACACACCAATTCTCAAACTGCACAGCTACTAAATTACAATAGTATTGTATCGATGACGGAAAATGATCTCTAGAGCATCTAGGTACCCAGGCTTTCAATTAAAAAACTTATCCAATTGAATTCAATTAAAAAAAATGATCTCTCAGATGAGTTATGACAGAAAACATACCAAAGGCAGTGGAAGCAGTACATCGATGTCAGACATGAAACTTAGCTGATTCAACTAAGCGGGCCTGCTAACCAGAATGCTCAGACCTGGATCATATTTAAAAAGAAACCCATAAATCATCATGATCTCAATTAAATATAATCAAGATAAGAACAACATAACAGCCACAGATCACATAATCGAAAAGAAATTTCGCAAGTCATCCACAATAATCAAAAGCTAAATTAAACCCAAAAATTAATCATGATCATCCATTTGTATTGCTGGAAATGTTTAGCCCTTAATTAAAACACCAAAATTAAAAATTCCTCACTCACAGTACAAAACCGAAACATACAAAGCAAAACCCAAAAATTAATCATCATTATTCCTCTTTTTTTTCATTTTTTTTTTTAATTTTGAGGGAAAAATCGAAGCACAAACAATCAAAAAACCCAAATAAAAAAAAAAAAAAAACAACAAAGAGATAAATTATATACTTGACCCAGAAAAAGCTAGGAAGAATAAAACCCTAAAACTCAAAGAAAAATGTTTCCTGCAACCAAAATACAAAATTAGAGATAACAACAAGACGTAGAGCGCGAAAAAACAAAGAAAACGCTGGGCCAAAAAGCCAAATAGCCCAAATTCACAACAATCAATCATAAAATTCTCTTCCTAACCAAACAGAAAATAAACCAACACATGAATCAACATACCTGAACGGGAGCGATTCGTTTGTGCAAAACAGGGGAAAAAAACGCCAAACACCTTCGAGAAGATCCGATCGGAACCGAAATCAAAAGACAGACGGGAAAACTAAAGAGAAACGGAATGACAGAAAGAAAATAGAAGAGGAAAAGAAAAAGTCGAAGATGCTTCCGGCATCTTTACTATAAAACACAACGTGGCCAAAGCTCAACCAAAAACACCAAAAAGCACCTTTCAAATGAGAGCAACAGCTGCAAACAAAAATGAAAGAGGGGCAAAATAGACAATTTATTGCACAATCCCACCAAAGTCCAAAAACCATAAATAAAATGAGGGTTAAAACCGGATGGGCACTGTTAATGAACAGTACCCATCCGTTGAGCTTTAGTATATATAAAATAAAATGTTGAGGTTCTATCCCAAACCAATTAGAAATGAGAAGTTTCTTGAAAGTCGTTGCAAGGTTTATTAAATCTCCGATGTAGGACTCTCCCTTTCACATCCACACAAGCGAAAATTAGAATATTATTTGGCCACTAAGTACATGAGCTTTCCATAGATGTGTTTGTTGACGAATATTTAGATTGTTCTTGATTTACGGTGATTCAATTAATTGGCTGACTTGTGGCTAATATTATTGAGATATATATGATATGTATATCTTACATGTGGTATCAGAACTGATAAAATTTAGACCATTGAAATCATAAATCTTGTTCAAGATCAAATTTCCATCTAAATTCCAAGCTTTTGTCGAACCCAGAAAGAATTAAAGGAAAGACACCGTTTACAACTCAAAACGACACCGTTTAAAAAAAAAAAAAAAAAAAAAAAGGGGGGGTGCGAAAGAGACGTCAGTGGTTTTTTAAATTTTTTACTGTTATTTTCTGGGTTTTTGGTTTCTTTTCTTTCTTGCTTTTGCTAAAAGTTGTGACGATTGAGAAGTTTTGTTTCTTCTTTCTCTTGACCACGACAATCCTCATTAACATTCAAACAAGAATATGCAAGTGCTGAAGGTACGTTTTGCTTTCTAATTCTTCAAAACTTTGGTTAAATAATTAGTTGTAGATTAGGAATTTTGGAATTTGACAGCAACATTGAGATGATTTAATTTGTTTGTAGATAACATCTGCAATTGAATATTGCTGAATCCAAATCGTTATTTTCTAACAAATATTGAACTTAAGTTGTAAATATAAATTGCTTCCATTGCTATAAATTAGTGTATGTTGTTGGTTTCATTGATACTTTCTGCAGAAATTGGATACATGTAATGAATGGCCTAAGAAATTCTTTCTCTTGGACATGGATCGGATCTGTGTTTGTAATTCCTTGTGAATTGTTTATTCTGTAAGTGCCTGATCTAAACATGTTCAGTGACTATATATATGATTAAATTGATTCACATTCAGAATTAAAAGTGTTGGAATTGATAGAAATCAAGAATCTTGTTAGATTCAAAGTCTTGATTTCATTGCTGTCATTCTGCATTTTCACTTAAAACCATCAACTTGGCTGCTGTGCTTGTACTCAATGGTGGAAGCAATTATAGAAAGTGGAGGAGAGAAATTGAGTTGCTTTTGATACTAAATAAGTATGACAGAGCACATCAGCTCTTACTGGCAAAAGTACCAAAGCTGAAAAGGTGGAGTTTGAATGAAGGGCTAGAGCAAACAAAGTTGCACTTTCAATATTGGAAAGTGGCATGACTGACACTGTGCGTGGGGGTATTAAGAAATGTGATATTGCAAAAGATTATCTCATAGCAATTGGGAACAAGTTCAAGGAACTTCAAAATGTTGAAATAGCTTAGTACATGACTCTTCTCACCACTTACAAGTTTGAAGGAGGAGGATCAATCATAGATCATATAATGAAGATGACTAATGCAGCTGAGAAACTAAATTCATTAGATATGAAGTTTTGTGAAAAGCAGCTTGTATTCATGATACTGCAAGCATTGCCCTTGAAGTTCAGTCAACTAAAGGTCCCTTACAATACTCAAGGTAAAACGTGGATGGTGGATAAACTTATAGCTCAATGCGTGCAAGAAGAAAACCGACAAAACCAGGACAAAGGCAAAGAAGCTTATCAATTTGTGCAATCAACCAAAGGAAAGAAGGAGTTTAAAGCAAATTCGGGTAAAACTTCTAAATCCAACTTCTCTGATAAGTCTATTATTTCTGCTAAAAGTTCCAGTTCCTGTAAGTCTAACAATTTTAAGAAGAAGGCTAAGAATATTGATAAAATTAGATGTCATCACTGCAAAACCAAAGGACACTGTAGAAAAATTGTGAAATATTCAAGGGTTGCTTGAGGTCAAAGGGTAGAACTGATGTTTATATCTGTGAAGAATCGAATCTCATTGAAATTCCCGCAAACTGTTGGTGGTTTGATACTGGTGCATCTGTCCATTTAATTAATTCATTGCAAGGTTTTAAGAAACAAAAACAAACAAATTGTTATAATGTTTTTGTGGGTGAGGGAACCAAGGTTTCAGTTGAAGCTGTTGGCACTGTTAGACTCAAATTTGCAACTAATTTTGTGTTACAATTGGATTATGTTCTTTATATGCCCTCAATGAGGAGAAATTTGCTTTCTGCTGGTTAGTGTTTCCGCGAGTACATGAGCATTCCATAGATGCGTTTGTTCACTAATATTTAGATTGTTCTTGATTTATGGTGATTCAATTGGCTTACTTGTGGTTAATTTTATTGAGATATATATGTTTATATGTATATCTTACAAATAATAGTATTGCAATTTTAATAGCAGTGAAGTACTGGTAAACCAAGGTGTAATCGAAGTGGAGCTTATAAGTGTAGGTTTCACGTACCCTTGTTTAGTATTCCCACTTCTAGATGATTTGATGCTAGAACTTGTGCAATGATGATTACTAAAATGTACGTATTTTATTTTAATTTTATTTTTTGAAAACTTTGACGGTACACGGAGAATTTTATTGATATAAAAAAATAAGGTACACCTCATAATACCACTGATGCGAGAATTACTTGACACTCAAATTAAACCCTCGTTTGACAATTGTAGTAGAATGGATAAGTGAGGGATCGTTCTAGACCGGGGATTAGGAGGGCTTGCTAAAACCTTCTAAATTGACTTAAAAACATAAAAACACAATATAAAACATTATTTAATGCTCGAAGAAAGCAAAACTAAAAATAAGAAAGATTAAGACTAAGACTTCAACGAAATAGGGGGGAATTGGATTTGGACGAATTTAAACTAAAACGTAAAAACAATATAAAACGTTAAATTAGACTCAAAGAATGTGAAACTAAACGTTAAAACACTAAGACAAACCAAAAGAATCAAAATGCTTTAAAAACACAAACTAAATTGATTTCTAACTATATTGCACATTAAAGCAAAAGGGGGATTGAGGTTTGATGAAAATTGAAATAACGAAACAAGAATGTAATTGATGAAATAAGATGGTTGGTGAATTAGCTAGAGGTTCTTTCTCCATACATGATATTTATGCATATGAATCAATTTCCAGTTATTCCTTCATTGAATTATGAACGACAATGCCCCAAATTAACCGTGACATCACTAGTTAACCCTCAGATTTTCCTTATATTATTGGATTGGATGGCATCATTCGACAACCCAAAACATTCTCAAAAGTTCCCTACATGTCATCATAATAGAGATACAATCGAAGATCATTAAGAATAATCAAAACCATAAGCATTGACAAAGCACTTGCAACTATGACATCATGTTACTCATGCTAAGAATTAAACTTAACGCGATCGTGACAAGCGACCTTCACTACTTTCAAGTATAAGTTAGTAACGATTATGTGAAACCTTCTTAAACTTTAGCCACATATTCATGCATGCTAATTAAGTGTCGACCCTCAATCAACAAACACAAATAAGTTAATCATCAAATAGTTAAGCCAATTGCATTCACGAATCAAGAGTTCATAACCGGAATTCATTAATTCATATTACATAAATAATCATGGTATTGAAATCACCCCTAGCTAAAAAGGGTTTAGTTCCTCATAACTTTGAAATCAAAGAAACACCTAACATTCCAACAACTCAAACGTGAATTGTATGAACATTTAGGCCCTCTTATCTTCCATTCCTCATATTACAAAACAAAGAGAATTGAATTTAAACTTTGAAATCAAAGAAACGCGTAAACATTCCAACAACTCAAACGTGAATTGTATGAACATTTAGGCCCTCTTATCTTCCTCTTTATTGTGGCACAAGAACTAAGGGATGTTGTAGGTGTGTTGAATGGATTGGGGGATTATGGAAATGGAAGAAATGGAGGAAAAATGGAAGAAAAACTCACGGCTAGGGAGAAGATGGAAGTGTTTGTGGTGTGTTGTGTATGAAATGAGATGATCTTTTGAATGAATAAATGCAAGGGTATTTATAGGAGGAGTGGAGATGTATATGGCTATTTGTTTAAGGTGTTTGTGGTTGCAATGATGAAGAATTGCATGTGGAAATAAAAGGGAAAATGTGGTGAAATGATGAAGTGTTGCATAAAGAATGCATGTAGGGTTAGCTAGGTTGGCTTTGTTTGGGTGCATGTGTGTTAATGGTGGTTTTGCATGTGAATTGATGGATTGTTTTTGATGGAATGGATGGTTCTTTGCATGGCTTTTGAAGTGATTGTGGGCTTTGGAATTGGAAGGAAATGCATGGCCTTGGGGTTGGTTTAAGAGAGAATGGGCTAGGCCCTTTGTTTTATGTCCAAAATGAATACAAGGCCTTCAAATTCGTCCAACACTTTGGCTCCAATCATATGCTATCCATTCCAAGCCCAATTTTGCTCCAAAATGCTCCAAAATGCATCTTTTTGCTTCCTTAGCCATATGAACCTAAAAACACACGAAAATGGCTTAAACTACTAAAACAACTATGAATTAACAACATAGATGCACGAAAACAAGCTAAGTAAGTCGCCTAAATATGCTCCTATCAAACTCCCCCACACTTATCTTTTGCTAGTCCTCGAGCAAAACAGAATAAAAACAAATAAACAAAACGACACTAAACACGTAAAACACAACCTCCACCTTCCAACAATCGTTTCAGGGATTTCTAATGCACATGACAAGTTAAAAATTATTATTCCCACAGAATTTAGCCATCTTTACCCTTAAGTACATTCTTAATCATAGTCACCACATACTAGTTCACAATTAAGCATTTAAAACCATGTTTTGAATGTAGTAACATGCCTTAGAGAATTTGCTCAATTCCTTACAAGATATGCACTCAATTTTCACTCAGATTTTCTAACTACACACCCTAATCTAGTCATATGTGAGAAGATTGATGTAAACATGAAAACGAACACTCACATATATGTATCACAAAGAACGCAATTTTTGGAGTTAATAAGCATGTTTAGATTATGATCTCATGAATGGAATGCTACTACTTAGACGCGAGAACCAGTGACACCATATGCTCATACCAAATTCAAACTCCACAATTGAAATACATAACACTCAAGATTGAAGTCACGGGTTGTAATGGGGCTTGGGGCGTGTGGATAACAAAGAAGGGATATGGAAAACAAAGGTTCTTAAAGAAATAGTGAGCAAGGCAATTGAATCAACTTAGAATTTTCTTTTGAATGAAAACTCAACTTTGGAACAAAAAGGGAGACAATTTAGGGCCAGAATTGGTGTTTTGAGCCCTTACTTCAATCACTCATTCTTTCATTTTTTTTCAAGCTCTTTTTTCTTTCTTTCTTTTCTTTTCTGTTTTTCTTTTCTTTTGAAACTCAAAACATACTTAAGAACAAGCATTCCTTCTCCCACACTCATTTTCTTGCATAATGTAACTCAAAAGGAATTCATTTAAGTCATGCTCCGATGCCTCCTGCTCCGAGAGTGTTGCCACGTAGTGGGGCCTCACGTACACAACCTTTGTAAAGGCTCCATCTTTCTGCCATGTTTAGACACAATTGTAATTTATCGAAAAAAATCAATGAACAAGCAAAAGTTTTATTTACTGTATTGGGTTGCCTCCCAAGTAGCGCTTGCTTTAACGTCGTACAGCCGGACGAGTACTCTCTTCAATCTTCATTTGAGCTCACGGAATGGAAAGGAATGTCTTCCACCACTTGCCCCACACCATGCTCGTAATATGGCTTCAACCGATGCCTATTCACCTTGAATTCTACGCCATTCCTTAAGCTTTTTATGTGGACTGCACCATAAGGTAAAACGTTAGTAACAACAAACGGGCCAATCCATTTAGAACGCAACTTACCAGGAAACAAACGTAGGCGAGAGTTGAAAAGTAACACTTTCTGCCCAACTGTGAAGGTCTTGGTTGGAATCATTTTATCATGGAATGCTTTGGTCTTGGCTTTGTACATCCGGGCATTCTCATAGGCTTCATTCCGAATCTCCTCAAGTTCATTCAATTGGAGCTTCCTATGAACTCCCGCTGCATCTATGTCCATGTTGAAAGTCTTCACGGCCCAATGTGCCTTGTGCTCTAACTCTACGGGCAAATGACATGGCTTACCATAGACGAGCCGAAAAGGTGACATCCCAATGGGTGTTTTGTACGCCGTACGATATGCCCACAGTGCATCATCTAAACGTAAGCTCCAATCCCTCCTTGTTGGTCCAACGGTCTTCTCCAAAATTTGTTTGATTTCTCGGTTAGACACCTCGGCTTGGCCATTTGTTTGAGGATGGTAAGGTGTGGAGACCTTATGGTTGACATGGTACTTTCTTAGCAACGCCTCAATGGTCTGATTGCAAAAGTGAGACCCTCCATCACTTATGATTACTCTCGGCATTCCAAACCTAGCAAAAATGTTAGTTTTCACGAAATCTGCAACCACCTTAGAATCGTTAGTACGGGTGGCTTTTGCTTCCACCCATTTAGAAACATAATCAACGGCTAGCAAGATATAAGTGAAACCATAAGATGGAGGGAAAGGGCCCATGAAATCAATGCCCCAAACATCAAAAATTTCAACATTAAAGACAGGGGTTTGTGGCATTTGGTCCTTGGTACCTATGTTACCCATTCGTTGGCAACGATCACAAGACATACAAAAGGTTCTAGCATCCCTAAATATAGTCGGCCAATAAAAAACCACACTCTAGAACCTTGAGGGCAGTGCGTTGTGTGCCAAAATGACCACCACATGCATATGTGTGACAAAAGCTTAGAATTGAGTGAAATTCAGAATCATGCACACATCTACGTACAATTTGATCTGAGCAATACTTCCACAAATAAGGGTCATCCCAAACATAGAAACGTGCATCATTTTTAAGCTTATCACGTTGGTGCTTGTTTAGTTCATTTGGAAATTGTTTAACCACCAAGTAATTCACTAAATCTGCATACCATGGTTCACTTACCTCAATGGATAGCAGCTGCTCATCGGGAAAAGTTTCAGGGATAGGTACGGCATGTTCATGCTCCTCGTGGATCATTCGGCTTAAATGGTCAGCCACTACATTCTCGCTTCCTTTCTTATCCCGGATTTCAATATCAAATTCTTGAAGAAGAAGAATCCAACGGATAA